GAATGCCTCATGAAGATGCTGGGTAATGGTGGGTTCGAAGACGACTGCGAGACGACGCGTTATGAAGTGACACAGTTCGGAGCCCCCCATGGGACCCCGCGTCACGTTTTCTGTTGTGGGGCATCCCGGCCCCACCAGACAAACGCGACTCGTCACGTTGATTGTCAAAGAGGTCCTCCCGATTCCTGGGCCCCCTGTTTGTGCCAGACATTGGCCAATGGAGGCCACATCTCGGTCGGACGACCACATGATAGGGACATGTTGGCAGTGTTTCCATATCATTGGAATTTCTCTGGCCCGCCAGGTGTACGACGCCGCCTTTTCCGCCAAAGCTATTGGCAAGTGGCCCTCTCTATGTTGTGCAAGCGAAGGGGCGTTGCTGGGCAAGGGTTCGAGGGCAGCCTCACAGGAGCGGAAAGATGCTATGCTGCTGGGGAGGCGAATGTACCGTCCGAGCAAGTTGCCGTCGTCGGCATGGGCAGGATCAAGTATATAGATTATACTGATGGGTTGGAAGGGGATAACCATGAAAAGAGGGCGAAATAGACGGAGAGGTTGACAAGAGGCGGGCACGGGGGAAGGAACATTGGAGAGCAGTACGAGGTGTGGCAAGCGGGGGATAGGGGGGTTGCCTCGATTAGCCCTTCGTCCGGAAGTGCATTTCCAGAAGATCACACATATTTTCAGCAGTTCTGAAGGTTTTTGCTGACCTCCATCGCCAAAGCCGGCAGCCTCCGCAGTGCAGGTATCGGGGTGTCTTTTTGTGCGCCGACCCTACTTTCTGACCCCTTGCAGAGTACCTGCTGCCAGGTGGGTTAGCTCGATGATGCCAGACTACTCGAAGGTCTTGGAGGACGTTCCCCCGCCACGCCAAACTTACGCCACAGCGAGGTCGGGCTGAGCCTCAGGCGCACAAGCTTTGACACGGAAACCTCTGATTGTAAATGACATTGGATCTTGGTTCTCATAGGTTCCCTAGTTCTTTCAGATTTTGATTTGTCGCAGTGACATCGTCGTGAGCCTCTGCTGTGTTGCGGGAGCGCCCCTCTGACATCCTCCTTCTGTGTGCGGGGCCCAGGGCCAGAGCCCAGAAGGCCGTGGAGATGCTATCATATGCCTGAGGTCGGGCAGTAGTCGGGCTGATTTGGGAGTGGCACAGATAGACTGATCGTGGGATCGGTAGACACGTGGGTAATGGAATCGGTGGATAGTGAGTTTCACCGATCGGTTGATGGGGAGATCGCCAGACAAATTGTGAGACCGGTCGGTTGTGATATGGATTGGTGCATTGACAGTGAGGTCGGCCGACTGAGAGTACAGTCGGGGCCCTGAAGAAGGAACTCTTTTCGTTGGGGAGGGGCTCCGTGTTCCTTAAGTGTTTCGCAGCTTGCCTTGGATTTTCTTTAGGGTTTCGACACGAAATCGAAGTTCATTTAATGGAAAATAGGGGCCTCGTTCCTTATTTAGGGTTCCTTAGGTCAACGCCTCGACTGTACAACCGATAGGTAGGTAGTTGTTAGATCGGTGTCCCGTTGTTGTCCCGTGGTTGACCCTTGGTTGACCCGTGATTGTCCAGCGATTATTCCGTGATTGTCCCGTGGTTGTTTTGTGGTCGTTCTGTTGTTGTGTTGTGGTTGTTTCGTGGTTGTCCCGGGATTATTCGTGGTTGTCCCGTGGTTGTCTTGTGGTTGTCCATTTGTTGTCCTGTGGTTGTCCTGTGGTTGCCCGTTGTTGTCCCGTGGTTGTCCCGCGCTTGTTCCGCAGTTGTCCCGCCGTAGTTCCGTGGTTTTCCTGTGGTTGTCTTGTGGTTGCCCGTGGTTGTCCCGTGGTTGTCCTATCTCTCTCGCTCTCTCTCTTTCTTCGGGGGCGGCAAAGAGGGGGGTGATGACTAGGGGGGGGGAGTATCATGGCGTGGGCCAGGATATCTCCCCAGATTTCATGGCGCCTCTTCCTGTTTCATTACGTCCCCGCCTCCTCCCCTGGGCCGCGCACACGACGCTGGCCATGATTTGCGCCCTCTTGGACACTTCCCTCTTGGCCGCCCCCGATTTCTCTCTCTCTCTCTCTCTCTTTCTCTGTATCGTAATTTGTATGTACACGTATAGCTAGATCGATCTGTAGATGTATGTTATTATGTTAGTCAGCGTGGACCCAAAACAGTGTGTTTTTAGCCATCTATGTTGTACAATATATGCCAGGCAATTTATGTGGTGCAGTCTGCGTTTTTGTGCAATCTACGTTGTGTTGCACAATCTAAGCAACGCAATGTAAAGCCATGTAAAGCAAAGCAATGCAAAGCAATGCACAGTAAGACAAATCAATGCAAGGCAATACAAAGCCAAGCACACCAACTCAAAGCAATGCAAAGCAACGCAAAGCAATGCACAGGAGTTCAAAGCCATGCCATGCAAGACCCAAAGCAAACCAGAGTGCAGCAATGCAAAGCAATGCAATGCAAAGTATCGCAATGCAACGCAACGCAAAGCAATGCAAAGCAATGCAAGGCAATGCAAAGCAGTTCAACGTCGAGGCGGTGACGGGGCGGCGACGGCGAGCACGGAGCCACCGGATTGGCACGCAGGCCCAGACGACGGACGGCGACGAGGCGGCGACGGGGCGGCGACGGCGACAACATAGTCGCCAGACCGGGCCGCAGGCCCAGACGACGGGCGGCGACGAGGCGGCGACGGCGACGTCAGAGCCGCCAGACGGGCTCGCATGCCCGGCTCCTTAGGAAAGAAGTAAGAGACCCGTACGTGCAGACATCATTTTGGGAGTGTAGGGGAAGATCGATTCAGCGACAGCGACCTCGATGGATAGGACAGATACAGATGTGTATGCACAAACGGATCGGTAAGTATCGAGATCGTTAGATCTGTAGGTCGAGAATATGATCCGACGCCAATCGCATACCGAACGCTGCACGCATTCCTCCCATACCTCCTTCATCAACCTAAGCGTGGTCCTACATGACGAAATTCTCAAGAAGTTTGTTGTATCAAACGATTTGTAAATGTGATAATGCTTGAATCAGCCAGACGATATAGAATGGCTGAGGTGTTGGGAAAGTTATACGTGGTAGACGTGCGAGCAGTGTTCGGAGAAGAGTGAGAAGAGCTATACCCATTGTACTCTGCATGAGCGTTCGACTGTATTGACGAGTTCGAACAGTTCGAATCGCGTGACGACAGAAGAGGGTTACTGGCTACGCAAGTTGTACATTCAGACGATGTGTTTCATACGTGTACTGCCAACCAGTCGCGCATCTGATCGCAAACCCGAAGCTGTACCCATCCCTCCACCCACCCCTCCAACCTCCTTATCACACGAATGGTTGTCTTGTCGTAGTTGGCGTCCTCGTACCTCAACTAGCCACAACTGGGGCCTGTGGCCCTTCGCCCCTTGACGGCCCCATTGCCTTCGATATCACCCTCGAGAGATCGTCTATAAGATGGGTTCCAGTAGGGGTCCAGAGACTCCGGCTGCCGAGTTGTGGCTGGCAGGTTCCATTCTGGAGGTTTCGATCCAGTGGGGTGTGCCCCCGCGCCAGGTTCTGTTGCTGTTGCTGCTGCTCAGCATGCTGCACTCAGCCTCAGCAGGGACGTTCATGGTGGGAAGCCTGGTTCTCATGCCACTAATGACGCTCAAGCTCTTGTAAATCCTGTAGCCTCTCGGAGAGCTGGCGGGCTTGATGTGCGGGCCATCTTCAATCGCCCAGTTTGAGTTGGGGGCCTAACGTGTTCCAAGTTGCGTAAGCGAGGAAGGCAGATTTTGGTGCAGTGGTTGGGCTTCCAAGAGGGAGACAGTTTGATGAAACAATGCGGAGTGCGAGTGCGTCGAAGCTGATAGAGCGTGCGCGTACGCGGACTTCCAGGCGCGACCAGTCGGCTCGCGCGAGCTCCGCCGAGGAGCTTCTTGGCGTGCTTCCTCGTCTCCTCCGAGTCCTGCCTTTCGTCCCCCCCCCCCTGCAGGCTCCCCGCCCAGGGCGCGGTGCCGTGCCACTCGTGCTGCGGGCGCCGCTCGGGGCGACGTCCGGTCTCGCCGATAGCTGCAGCGCATGGCCGCGCCGAGGTGCCGAGAGGTGCACTGGCCCTCTCTCTCCTCTTGGGCGGGTGCCGAAAAGGGCCCGGAAGGGATCCTTGAGGGCCTCTTTGGGGCCCCTGCGGGCTCCAAAAGGGGCCTGCAGGGCCCCTCCGGGGCCTTGCTCTCCACCTCCCACACCGGTCACCCTTCACCTCCCCACCCGCCCGATCCCCCCCCCCCCATCGCCTCGGACGGCGCGCCCCTCCTCGGCGGCTCAGCGCCTCGGCTCGGCTCGGTGCTGCGGGCCGGCGGCCGGCCTCCAAGGCCGCGCGCCCCTCCTGGCGGCGGCCCGGCTCCGGCCTGCCCCCTGCGGCCCCGCGCGCCGGAGCGGAGAGGACAAGCACGCGCTGCGGCAGTGGCTGGACGACGCGAAAGGCGGGCGCCTGCCTCGGCGGGTGCTGTCCAGGGCGGCGCCCAGAGTGGGCCTCCCCTGATCACCGAGCGCGTTCCACGACTCGCAAGGTACCTGCTCGCAGACGTCCGAACAGCGCATGCTTGCCTCGATGTGGTGGATCCTAAGTCCCCCTTGGCGGATCCAGGCCATTTGCGAGTAGTTACTTTGCGAGTCGTGGAACGCGCTTGTCTGCCTACTGTAACTCCACGTGAATACTGCTCCCCTCTCTCCCCCGATGGCGGCGCGAGAGCCGCGCGCCCCTCTCCGCGCATGGTGCTTTTTGCAGGCAGGATGCGGTTTCCGGGTCGGTTTCTCCTGCGGCTCTTTTTCCGGAAAGGGCGCAGGCCTAGGGTTCTCTTTTAGTTGGTAAACCAAGGGCCGGGTCTTTACTTGCGACGGGCTGGCGATGTTCTTGTGCGATAAATAACGAGGTCGCGTAGGGCCAGCGAATCAACAAGTTGAGGAGGTCCTCAGCGAAACGCTGGTTTATCCTATCCCGATTGAGAAATCACAGGGTGCGGGACACATTTGGGTCACGGGCATGAATCCATTTGTTTTTACGCGTGTTCTCATAGATTGGCCCTCTCCAAGGGCATGAATATGTGTATTTTTATTTATGTTCCTACAGATTGGCCCTCGCCAGGAGGCCCCACGAGGGCCCAGGTCAACCAAGGGGGTATCTAACATGGCTGTCCCGAGCTGTAACCACACGTTTTCACGTGCCTGGGCCACCCCGTGGGGTATCTAACATGATTGTCCCGAGATGGAACCACGTGCTTTGACATGTCCAGGCCACCCAGGGGGATATCTAACATGATTGTCCCGAGCAAGGACCAGGTGTCTTCATATGTCCAGGCCACCCAGTGGTGTATCTAACGTGGTTGTCCCGAGCTGGCCCCACGTGTTTTTACATGTCCAGGCCACCCAGGGGGGTATCTAAAACGGTTGTCCCGAGCAAGGACCAGCTGTTTTAACGTGTCCGGGCCACCCATGGGTGTCTCCAACATGGTTGCCCAGAGATGGCACCATGTGTTTTTACGTGTCCGGGCCACCCAGGGGGGTATCTAACATGGTTGTTCAGAGCAAGGACCAGGTGTTTGAACGTGTCCAGGCCACCCAGGGGTGTCTCTAACATGGATGCCCAGAGCTGGCACCACGTGTTCTTACGTGTCCAGGCCACCCAGGGGGGGTATCTAACATGGTTGTCCAGAGCAAGGACCAGGTGTTTTAACGTGTCCAGGCCACCCAGGGGTGTCTCCAACATGGTTTCCCAGAGCTGGCACCATGTATGTTAACGTGTCCAGGCCACCCAGGGGGGTATCTAACATGAGTGCCCCAAATTGGAAACACGTGTTTTTACGTGTCCAGGCCGCTCAGGGGGATGTCTAACATGGCGTCGGGCCCAACGCCGAATTATTAGGAAACGAACGGGGGGCCGAAAAGCGCTACCCGAACACATATCCCACTACAGGAGAGTAAGGTCTTCTTGCTCTGGACAGGGGGTGGCGCTTTGGGGACCCCTCCAGGGAAGACATTGCGAGGATGTCTCGAGCGGGAGCGCGAAATTAGCGTGTCCAGGCCACGCAGGGGGGTATCTAACATGTGTGTCCCGAGCTGGAACCACGTGTTCTTACATACCCAGGCCACCCAGGGGGATATCTAACATGGTTGCCCAGAGCTGGCCCCACGTGTTTTTACGTGTCCAGGCCACCCAGGGGGTATCTAACATGATTGTCCCGAGCAAGGACCACGTAGTTTTTTAACGTGTCCAGGCCACCCAGGGGGATATCTAACAGGTTGCCCAGAGGTGGCACCACGAATTTTACGTGTCCAGGCCACCCAGTGGTGTATCTAACATGGTTGCCCAGAGTTGGTCCCAGGTGTTTTTACGTGTCCAGGCCACCCACGAGGGTTTCTAACATGATTGTCACGAATTGGAACCATGTGGGTTTACGTGCCCAGGCCGCCCGGGGGGTATCTAACATGGCGGAAGCAGGTGCTTTTACGTGTCCAGGCCACCCAGGGTGTATCTAACATGGGCCTCCTGGGGCCTTCCTGGGGGCCTGGAACGGATCCTGAGCTCGAGTTGGTTGATCGCCCCGCATTATTATCACCGCCATAGTCATGACCATCAATGGGCCCGTGGGGGCCTCTCGGGGCCGAAGTCTTACCCGAATTGATTTGGATCCTAAACTCCTTCTCCTCCGTGTATTCATCTTCTTTTTGAAGAGCTTCTGAGCCTGAGCTATGCATTCAGACAGCTCGAGCGTAAGATCCAAATCAGTTCGGTCAGGATTCTGCCGCCAAGGACGGCTTGATCCACAATGCAATAGCTCGCGGCACAGTTCAACGCGGCATGACACATATGAATTCAGCACAGAATGGCGCAGCACAGCACAACCTTCGGTACGGTACATCGCCAGCGTTACCCTGAGCATTGAAATGGGCTGTCGCCCACGTTTGGTTCAACCAGTTCGAGTTGCGCGTTCATGCAACTCGAGCTTGATCCAGATCAGTTCGGCCAGGAGTCGAGTGACAAGGGCGACCTGATCCACAGCGCAGTAGAGCACAGCACGATTCAACGCGTCATGACGCATTCCAAGTCAGCGCTACGCGGCGCAGCACGGCCCCTGGCACGGTACATCGTCATCGATACACTCAACATTGCAAGTGCCCGCCGCCCAGCTCGGTGTCGTGAAAGCGGTCCCACGCTTCACATGTGGAGCGTTGCTTCGTCCAGTTTCGGAACTCAATCGGATCTTGAGCTCGAGCTGGTCGAGCGCCCCCGCGCGTTTCGATTGCGGCCAGCTCGGGGCGAGTTACGCGTACTCAACACCCACCAAACCACCCCAACCCAACCCGAAGGCCTCAAATTGACCTCCATTTCCAGTGGGGGGGGGGTCGGGGAACATCGAGAAAACACATATGGAACCCGTACCCCACCAAACCCGAAATTCGGGTCTTCGGGTTGGGTTGGGGTGGTCTGGTAGGTAGTCAGTACAGGCAGCTCGAGCTGAAGATCCAAATCAGTTCGGTCAGGATTTGGAGGCCACGGGCGAGTTGATCCACATCGCAATAGAGCACAGCACAGTTCAGCGCAGCATGACAAGTTCGAAGTCAGCATAGCACGGCGCAGCACAGCCCCTAGCACTGCACATCGCCCTCGATACCTTCAGCATTGCAAGTGCCCGTCGCCCAGTTCGGCGTCGGCGCAGCGTGGCATCGCAGTGCAACATAGCGCGGCACGTCGCAGCACAGTGTAGCGGAACCTGTGGCACGGCAGCATGATTACCGATGTTTTCAACATCACACATTCCTTTCCGGGTTCGTGGGTCCATCATGTTTCCCATCCTGGCGTGTCCTCGGCCTTTTCAGCATGGTGTTCCCGCTGCAGCGTCCCGCCGTTCCGAATGGCGGTCCCGCCCCGGCCACCTTTCTGGATCCGGGTCCTTCCCCATCATTTGTAGCCTCCCTGCTTTCCCCTCCTCCTCCTTCCCCTGGTCCGCCTGCTCCTCCCGCTCCTTCCTCTCCGGTTTTAGCTCCTGCTGTTCGTCCGTCCGCGGATAGGGGAAACATCAGCGCAATGGAATAGATGGGTGGGAGGAGTAGGATGTCCGACATTCGGGCCGAACGAAAGGGGAGGATAGGAAAAGGGGAGGTTACGAAATCTGCTACATGCAGCTGGTTTCGGCCCCGCCGCCAGGCCCATTCCTCGATACATGGGCGCCTCCTGGCGCCAGGAGGCGCCGGAAAAATCAGCTACGTGAGCTGATTCTCAAACCCGCGCTTTGCTATCCCCCCCTTTCGCCCGGCCCGAGACATGGCGCGAGCGTATCGCATCCAGCTAGCCTGGCGCCCCTCTCCCGTCCACTCAGCCTCGGCAGTGCTGCCCCTGCTGACCCCTGCGGTCAAGACTAAGACGTTGAAACAAGGACCACGTGGGGCTCATGAAGGGCTCTGGTTTTCGGGTCGTCCCTTCGATCTTTGCCCGGAGAACCCATTCGTGACCCAGATTCGCCGTGCAAGACGAGCCCTTTCGCTTCTTATTCAGCGTCCCTTATGCTACGCGGTACGTAGCATGTTTAGAGTACCCTAGTCGCCGATGGTGCTGGCCGCCACCACCAGCCCCCCCGCGCCCCGACGGCCCGACTTGAATATTGAGAGGTGTCACGCGCACCAGGAGTCGACGGAAAATACGGCGCCCCACTCCACCGCGTGCACTCGTTTCCAGTACTCAGGTCGAGAGGGAGAGGCGTTTCCCAAGTTCGGCCTGGCCCTCCAGGTGGTGCAACAATTGCCCCACCAGCCCCGTCTGCTGCTTCGCATCGCTCGGACGTGTGCATTTTCCTTCGGCGAGGACCATTGGGGAGCATCCTGGCTTCACCACCCACCAAACCACCCCAACCCAACCCGAAGGCCCAAATTAATCCTCGATTTCCAGTGGGGGGGGGGTCGGGGAACGTTGAAAAAACACATGGTATCCGTACCCCCCCCAACCCGAAATTCGGGTCAAATTCGGGTCTTCGGGTTGGGTTGGGGTGGTCTGGTAGGTAGTCATGGCTCATCTTGCAACAAGAAGCGCACGCACCAAACCGAAGCATTGCACGGGGAGTGGGCGTGCGAGCGATGGCCAGCCTGGCGGTGCGCCGGACCCTGGCTCCCTTGCTCTCGCCGCCGCTGGCGGGCCGGGTGCCGCCCGCCCGCCCGCCGAGATCCGGGGCGCGCGCGGCCCGTACTCGGGCCGGGCGAAAGGGGGGGATTGGGAAAGGGGGGGTTACGAAATCTGCTGCATGCAGCCGGTTTCGGCCCCACCGAGGGGCCCATTCCTCGATACATGGCCGCCTCCGGCGCCGGGAGGCGCCGGGAAAATCAGCTACGTGAGCTGATTCTCAAACCCCCCCTTTGCTATCCCCCCCTTTCGCCCGACCCGACGTACGCACGAGGCCCCGCCGTGCTGCTCTTCACGGACAAGTCGAGCAGCCCTCCGATGTGGAAGGCGCGCCGCCGCGGGGCTTCCCCCGGGCCCAGGGCAGGAGCTCGGAATACGAGACCCAGAAGTATACGCCACCACCACCCCACCTCACCCCCTCCCTCTTCCACGAAGGAGGAGGGGAAGAGGAGGGTTGAGGAGTGAGGAGGAGTCGACGTGGTGGTGGTGTATGTTCTTGGGGGCCCACATGGAGGGTGTGGGTCGAGTGGGACCAGTGGGGACGGCCTTCTGATGAGGCAGCGAGCTTGGTCGAAGGGGTGAGGGGCTCGAATGGGATGAGGACAGCCATGCCGATCATCCTCACTTCCTCCACCTCCCCCTCCGAGAAAGGAGGAAGGCAATCAGAGGAGGAGGAGGAGGAGGAGGAGGAGGAGGAGGAGGAAGGAGTAGGAAGGATATCAACCTGTTGAAGACTTTGTTTCATATTGAAGGTTTCTCAGAAAGCAGGATGGTTTTGGGAAGCCTCTGACATTCGTAGGAGGCCAGACCCGTCACCCCATGTCGCTTTGCGCGCCGCCAGCGCTCATGCCACCTCCCGCGCCCATTCTCTCTCGCAGCCGAGACGCTGAAACCAGGACCCATTTGATCCTGGGAGGGGGTGGTTTTCGTGCCGTTCCTTGGATCGAAGCCGGGGAAGCACTTCGTGGCCGAGGCTCGCCCTTACCAGAAGATCCGCTCCGTAGCACGATGATGCCCGTACCACGATGACTGTACGCATGTAGGCACCATCCCTTACGGTCCCACACGCGCAAAGCCACTGCAGGTCGTTGCCCAGTTCCAGGCTGCTGTGTACGGGACGCTCGGCTCAGCTCCCGCTGCAGCCACTGCTCCCGAAGGCCGTGAAGGTGTCGGGCCCTCGGAGCGAGAGCCACGGCGGGCACCCCAGGGGGAACCGAGCATATAGATATGTACGAGCCAGTGAGTTTTCAGGGGTATGCCCTCGAGGCGCTCGTGGCTGAACAGCTAGTCTCCGTTGATGCTGCTTTGAGATCCTCGTTGGGGCAACGGCATCTTGCGGCCTCTCTTGGGTGTTGGACAGGATGTTCGGCTGCGCCCAGGAGATCCGACTGCGTTCAGGGTGAGTTGGGGGCCTCTCGGCTCATCTTTGGATCGCCTGGGGTCTCGGGGGGCCTCTTGAATTGTCTTGGGCGCCTCTGTAGCCCGTCTTGCAGCCGTCTGACTTACAAGCAAAACATAGAAGAACGCCCCAAACTACCAAACATAGAGAAGACAGTGACGAACAAAGGGCATGGAAGACGAGTACCTCCCCCGCTGATCCTGCCTCCCCGGCCTGCCCTAGCGACGTCTTGTTGAGCGTATGCTCCACGGCGTTGCCTCGAGCATTTCGCAGTCGGCCGCGTTGCACCATTCTGCTCCTGCCGACCAGCTAGCACATCGGCCAGCCAGGCTGCTACATCCACAGGCTGCTGCCCCAGAGGCACAGGAAAGATCAGCAGCTTCTCGTCCTCCTCTTCTTTGTCCTTTCCTCCCATCCTCCTGGTTGGACCCCCTGGTCGCCCTCGCTGGCTTCCAGGGGGCACTGAGGTCTGTGACTCCCATCCTCCTGGTTCATACTATGTCCTCCTCCTGATCTGTAAAGGCTTCGCCCTCTGCCGACGGCCCCCTCTCTATTATGATGGAATTTGCAGGTGCTATGTTGGGATGCCTGTTAGCCATCGTGAAGCAGCACCGAATCTTCGTGTGAGGACGACTGGGAATCTTCAAGACAAACTGAGGTTCAGATGATATAATTGATCTCTGTGTGAATGTGTTTTTGTTTGCGAATTTCCTCGGCGTTAAACGTGTTGGAGTGCAGGGAAGCGACGAGGAGGGGGAGCTAAGGCCCGAGGAGGCCCGCGACACGCTATGCAGTAGAAGGGGGGCGGCCGCGTCAGGTATTGTTCGTTATGCCATCTCTTCGAGTTGCCCTCCCTCCCACCCCCGATGCGCGAGCCTGCTGCCCAGCTGGCCTGGTCGGGCTGCTTGCGCCCATCGAACCCGACCGTGCTTTGCGCTGGGGGGGCGTGTGCGAAGTAGTCAGGTGAAGCTTCGGTCCCCAGGAGGCTTTTCTCTCATGCTGTGTATCGGAGGCCCTCTTGGAACGGCTGTGGGCTGCTTGAGGCTACGTTCGGCAAAACCGCGCGGCTTGGACGGTCTTCGGGTCTCTCGGCGTATTCCAGGGAGCCGTGGCTTCGGGGACGCGAATACGGCGCAGTGTACCAGGAATCCTTTCCTCGGGGGCGCGCGTGCGGCGAAATTCGCCAATATCGCGGTCTCGGTGTGAAGGTTGCTTGTTCTACGAAGGATCGTGGCCTCGGGGACGCGAATATTGTTTAATTTGCAACGAGACATTGCCTCGAGGACGCGAATGCGGCGTAATTGACAAGGCCTGGTAGCCTCGGGGACGTGAACATTGAGTAATTTACAAAAAAATGGCCTCGGGGACGCGCATCTTGCATCATTTACTGAGGCTCGTGGCGCCCCAGGGGCCCGATTATTCCGGGAAAGTGCATAGGCCCAAGGTTCTCATTCAGAGGTTACCCCCCGGCCTCTACTTGAAGGAGGCCCGCGGAAATGACAAGGTCGACGAGGACCAGCGGAATTGAATTTTGAGTATTTCCTTAGGAAACGCTTGGTCTCTATGCATTTGTTGAGGATCTCTCAGGCGAAGCGCTGGTTTTGCAGAGTTGAGGGATGTCTCCAGCGGGAACTTCACATCTAGGTGCAGATGCCCCTTCACCACGCGTTGAACACGTGAAAGCAGAAGGTACAATGGATGCGGTGTTTCAGTACGAATCATCTTGAATTTCCGTGCGGTAACCTCCAAATGCCCTGGCCGAGCAGCGAGGAGCGAGAAGAACTCTTGCCCACCCCGTGTGCCCTTACCATGAGGGGAGGGGCCCCACGGCGGGATGCTTCCCACGACTCTCAGGGTTTGGTCCCCTGTCTGGGGACTCCCCAAGCGGCAGTGGGAGATTGTATAGCCATAGCTGCAGTCGTCTGGAGCTGCCCACTGCCTCCGTCGCAGCGCCAGCAGCAGCGGCCACCTGCGCGTCGATGAAGACTCTGCGGCGCACGAATGGCTGAGCAAAAGCGCCACTCCAAAGGCAAGGATGTTGATGGCTTGGCGAGGGAGGATGAGAAGGAGGATGAGGAGCAGGAGGACCTCCCCATCCTCCCCTCTCCCCCTGTCCTACATATGGTAGTGGTGGTGGGAAATGTGCCCATCATTGGCGGTGCACCTTCTCCAGCGGCACGAAGCACTCGGCCTTGGCCCCGAGGACGTTCCCACGGCCAGGGAGGAGTGAACGACGGCCTTGCACATGCACAGCATGCCTTTCCCATCCACGTCTTCGGACAGGACCTCGGTGAAAGACGCTGCCGAGGCCTTGACTCGACGCTGTCCCCGAAACCGCCCACCACCAGCTCCAACGCAGCGCAGAGGAAGGCCACATTCCGCTTGGACTCCTCGAGAGGCCGCACCTTTTGGTCCTCGATCCCCGCTTGCAGAACAGGGGGAACCCAGCCAATGCGCCCAAGTATGAACAGTGGGAAACCGACCCCATCCCCCACAACGAGGGATTTTACATGCCAGCGTTTCGCATGTATGGCGAATGTGCGTCAGTGTAGGCGCCCTGTAGGCGAGGTCATTGCCAGCTGCCGCAGGGGGGGCCCGCGCGCGCGGCGACGTCCTGGGCCCACCCGACGCGCCCGCGCCCGCGCCTGCATCCCCGGGGCCGCGCGTGCCACGGCCGCGGCGTGCAGTTTGTGGCGACGGCGGCGCTGTCTCTCGCACGGCAGCGCCGCTGGCCCAGCCGAGGGCCGCCGCCACCGCCTCCGTCGCCCCCTCGTGACCCCTCCGACGGAAAAATTTAGATCGGGAGCGCTTCTGTCGAGACAGCGGGTCCAATAGAACGTTTTTGGGCGCTTATATAAACAATGTGGTCTGTTTATATAAGTTTGTCGGGGCTCTCTCGCGCCGGAATCTCCGCTTCCGAGAAGTTTAGATCGAGTTCGTGTTGAGTTTCTATGAGCATGTTTCGCCTGGTGTCTAAGCTTTGTTTCATTGGGTGGATCTAAACTTGTCTAGCGCGCCCGTGCGCGGCGGACCCTGGGCGCCGTCCGGGCCAGCGTCGCCAACGGCCGACGCGCCTCTTGGTTTTTGCCCCAGCGCGAGCGCGCGAATTATCCACGATGACATTCGGCATAGGCCGCGCGTCAGCACAAGGCAGTGCCAAGTTCAAGCGCCGATGAGCATAGCAGCAGCGCGCCGTGCGCATGGAATTTCGCGGCGATGTCGTTGGCTGACCGTCGAGCAGTTTCCGCTTGCAGTTCACAAGTCGTTCGACGGTCGAATTGGCCTACCGTTCCTCATGTGGGGGCGGGGGTCGATTTCATGCGTTCAGACTAGGTCGGACCTGGAGACGTCGAGGGAAGACCTGGTGACGTCCAGCTCCAGTTCCAGATTGACGATGTGGGCGAATGGTTCCGCCAAGTCTACGGTCAGCTTGCGACTCGCTGCCTCAGCAGCCCCGCGGGCGCGCCGGCTGGCCGTCGCTCGCTCCGCACTGGATCTCCACGCAGACCCCTCCGGTGGCGCCACCTTCTGGCGCAGCATCAGCGCCCCGCCAACATCTCTAGACCCGGATGGGCATGACACGCCAGTTTGACCTCTCCCTTTCTCTTCTCCTCCTCCTCCTCCTCCTCCTCCTCCTCGCTCTTCTCTCCGACGCCAGGCCGCCTCTGGCAGCGCGCGCGCGGCCACCCCACCCCCGAGGCTCTGAGCCGGGAGTTTAAGGGCAAGGTCTCCCTCGCAGTGGCGCGCCGCCTTCGGAGAAAATCGTCGTCGTCTTGTTTCCAGCGCGGCAAACGAGGCAGGAGAAGTAAGAGGAGGAAAATGAGAAGGAGGATGCAGAGGATAGGAGGAGGAGGGGGATGAGGAGGAGGAGGAGGAGGAAAAGGGGGAGGAGGAGGAGGCGGAAGAGGAGGATCCGCAAGAGGACAGGAAGAGGACGAGAGGAAGGAACAGGAGGAGACGAAGGAGAAGGAGGAGGAGGAGGAGGAGGAGGAGACGAGGAGGATGAGGAGGAAGAGGAGGAAGAGGACGAGGGCGAGGACGAGGACGAGGAGGAGGAAGAGGAGGAGGACGAGGGCGAGGGCGAGGACGAGGAGGAGGAAGAGGAGGAGGGTAGGAAACGGGAGTGAGAGAGAAGGAGGGAGGCAGAGGCAGATAATGAATAGCCATACTCATTCGAGTTTCTCTGTCTGTGTGTCCTTGTCGCTCTCTTTTTTTTTTGTTTCTCTCTCTCTCTCTCTTTGTCTCTCACTGTTTCGTTGAAGCGTTGTCTGATCAGCACCAGCGTCGCCATGTCCATCGGCAGGTTGCTGGTGGACGCCGCCGCCCCATACGTAGAGGTGTCTGGCCCAGTCAACTGCATCCAAGATGAGACTTCATCGACAACGAAGTGGGATAGACAGACATAGAGAACAACAACAACAACAACAACAACAACAACAACAACAGCAACAGCAACAGCAACAGCAACAGCAACAACACCAACAACAACAACAACAACAGCAGTAGCAACAACAAAAACACAATATCCAGGCGAGTGGCCCAACCAGATGCAGTTGTCGTTAACTCGTTGTGGTCGCGCTTTCCGCGGAGCTTCCTCTGGGGTCACGAAACGCGTGAGGTATGCGCCGGAAATGGAGGCGGTGGTGCCATGCGAACCCTGCCACTGGGGCCTTCGGCGGGGCCCCCTCTTGGGCCACGAAACGCGTGAGGGGCGTGCCGAAATGGAGCCGGCGGTGCCGCGCGAACCCTGACAGTTTGACCTTCGGCGGGGCCCCCTGTGGGGCCACGACACGTGTGAGGGGTGTGCCGACATGGAGGCGGCGGTGCCATGCGAACCGTGCCGCTGGGATTTTCGGCGGAGCTCCCTATGGGGCCACGAAGCGTCCGAGGGGTGTGCCGAAATTTCAAGCGGCGGTGCCATGCGAACCCTGCCACTGGGGCCTCTGGCCGTGATCGACATGGAGGCGGCGGTGTCATGTGAGCCTTGCCATTGAGGCCTTCGGCGGAGCTCCCTCTAAGGCCGCGAAGCGTGTGAGGGGTTACCGAAATGGCGGCGGCGGCGGTGCCATGCGAACCCTACCAGTGTGACCTTTTGCGGAGCTCCTTCTGGGGCCGCGAAGCCTGTGAGAGGTGTGCCGAAATAGAGGCGGCGGTGCCATGCGAACCTTGCCACTGGGGCCCTTGGCGGAGCTCTTTTCGTGGCCACGAAGCGTGTGAGGGGTATGCCGAAATAGAATCGCGGTGCCATGCGATTCCTCCATTGGGGCTTTCGGCGGCGCTTCCCATAGGGCCACGAAGCGCGTGAGGGTGTGCCGAAATGGAGGCGGCGGTGCGAGCCCTGGCAGTGGGGCCGGGCTCCTCATGTGGCCACGAAACGTGTGAGGGGTGTGCCGAAATGGCGGCGGCGGTGCCATGCGAACCTTGCCCGTGGGGCTTTCGGCGGAGTTCCACATGATGCCACGAAGCGTGTGAAGGGCGTGCCGAAATGGAGGCGGCGGTGCCATACGAACCCTGCCACTGGGGTCCCCGACGGAGCTCCCTATGGGGGCACGAAATGGCAGTCCGAACGGAGAAGGGTTTCATGTGGGTTTCGCGCCTGTTGTTTTGTATTTAGATTGCCTGCAGTATCGCGCGCGTTCGGCGCCCCGGCTTTGCAAGAGCCGCGCGTCAGAACGGCTGACAGGCGTGGGCCACATATCGCGCATAGAATTGAAAACGGGCCTCCGAATCAGCCTGGCCGGAAGGCCGCGGATGTAAGACACCATCGCGAAGCCAGATCGTAACGTTGGGCTTCAACCGTTTAAAAGGGAAGGATGCAGTCTGGGCCACGGCAACACTGGTTCCAAAAGCTTGCGAATGTGTTTCGCCCTTGTTTCTTACATGTTCGGCGGCACCCTGTGCCAGAGCTACAGAAATCATCCATATCGCTGGGATGTTGCAACCCCATCGCACTTCGTGGTTTTCATTATCGTTCCGTCATAGCCAGGCTAAGACATAGAAGCCGCAACGTCCCAGAACGCCATTCCCGGCGATCCCAGGATCGTTTCGTCATAGCCAGGATAGCACAGAAAACGACATAACTTCCCAGAGCGCCATCCCGGGCGATCTCATTGGCATTTCGACTTGGCCAGGCGAAGTCCGAACATATCGTACAATTGCAACCGTTGCAGCCCATCGGCCACGTAGCCTGATCGGAAAGTTGCTCTCGCCGCCGCGCTGTGTCATGTCCATATTCTCCTCCCCATCTCTTTTTCCGGGGAGGCGTTTAAGCTCCCGCCCGGCCGCCGATCCTAGCGCTGGCATCCCAGACCACCTCATCGGCGGACCTCCCGGCTTTAATTGCAGTCCGAACAGAGAAGGCTTTCATGTGGGTTCCGCGCTGTTGTCGGGTCCGCGTTTTTTGACTTGAGAGTGCCTGTAGTAGTGCGCGCCTTCGGCGCCCCAGCTTTGCATCAACCGCGCGACAGAGCGGTTGGCGACCCCATGTCGCGCATAGAATTGAGAAAGGGGCCTTCGAATCAGCCTTGCCGGAAGGCTGTGGATGGAAACGATCAACGCGAACATGATTCGTAACGTTGGGATTTTGCCGTTCAACGTTATGATCGGCGTCGTTTTGATGAGGAAGTCCTGTGCCAAGACTCCCATCAATCATTCATGGCGTTGGAAAAATCGTTCCATCATAGCCAGGCTTTGACTGAACAAACCGCAACATCCCATAACGCCATTCCTGGCCATCCCAGGATCGTTTCGTCATAGCCAGGCTAGCACAGAAAACGGCAGGACTTCCCAGAGCACACTTCCTGGCGATCTCATCTGAGTTTCACTTGAGCCAGGCGACATCACAGCATAGCGTAACGTTGCAGCCGTTGCAGCCCATCGGCCACGCAGCCTGATCGCAAATGTGCTCTCGCCGCCGCGCTGGACCACTTCCTTCCTCTCCCCCTATCCCCTTCCC